TTTTTTTTTTTTTTTTTTTTTTTTTTGCAAAAAAAAAAAAAACATTCGATAAAATATTACTATCCAGATAAAATGTTAAATATCCAGACTAGCGTTCAGTTCTTGCTCGCCGCTGTATATATAAATTCTAGCAAGAATTCCTTTTCTCTCTCTCTCTCTCTCTCTCTCTCTCTCTCTCTCTCTCTCTCTCTCTCCAACGAAAGAGAACCGGCTGATTTCGATTCCTGACTGAATCGAGTGAGAGCGAGCGCAGGATGCGCTCAGGGCCACGGTCGCGACTCTGTACGTAATCCAAAGCGCACTTCCGTTACGCGGCCGAAAATTAACCGTGCCTTAGCCAGCAACTAAACGGCCAACAACTTCAATCAACGAGCGATGAATGAGTGCCTGGCGACCCTCCTCTCGCCCTGTAACACGCCCACATCCCGTGGATCCGCCGACGCTCCTGCAGACAACGCTCTTGAAGAGTTATAAAAACCTCGCGGCGGCCTAGCGTCGCCTCATAACGTACTCGCGTAGCAAAAGTGTGACACGAACGACGGTGGACCGGAAAACTTTTAACGCGTTCGACACGACACGACACGACACGACTCGACTCGACTCGACACACGCACACATACCACACACACCATGGCTATGAAACAAGGGTTGCTGTATCTCGGCCTGTATCTCCTGTGCTTGCAGACGATCCTCGTGAACGCCGTGGTAAGCAATCCAACACGTCGAGGGATGGGAACACGTTAAACGCGAGATTCGATCTGGCCGATTCGGTTAGGCAGAGGGTCGTTAGAGAAATAATAACGATACGAACGATAACGAGGGGCAAGTGAACTCCGAAGTTTCTCCTCGCGTTAACCTCTTGCGCTGAAATAACGCGCCACGCACGTCGAGAATCTTTTGTTCCAAAATTGTAACATTTTTCTCAGTTCTAAGTATACTTGAGTAAAACAAAATGAGTAAAGCAAATATTAAATTTATTACATCTCGATAATTTCTATCCAGTGATATCGAAAAGAAAGCGACTAATTACTATATACAGTTCGGTCACTCGTTATGGTCCGCAATCAGTTGCTGGCGCAAGCGGTTAACCTCATCTTTTTGAGGATTTTTGCCGCAAAATTGTAATATATTTTCAGTTCTAAGTATATTCGAGTAAAACAAAATAGGTAAAGCAAATAATAAATTTATTACTTCACGATAATTTCTATCCAGTGATATCGAATACGAAAAAAAAGTGACTAATTACTGTATACAGTTCGGTCACTCGTTATGGTCCGCAATCAGTTGCCAGCGCAAGCGGTTAACCTCTTTTTTTACCCCAAAATTGTAATATATTTTCAGTTTTAAGTATATTTGATTAAAACAAAATAGGTAAAGCAAATAATAAATTTGTTACTTCACGATAATTTCTATCCAGTGATATCGTACCGACGAGTTCGAAAAGAAAGCGGCGAATTTGGTCACTCGTTATGGTCTGCAATCGGTTACCAGCGCAAGTGGTTAACACTAGAACTACCGAGTGGTCAAAATGACTGATTCATAATTTTTTTTTAGATATATTACAGATGCAGAATAGTGTATTTTTGAAGGTTCGAATGATTTTTTATAAAATACACGAATAAACGTTTGTGCATTGTACTGTATTTCTATAGTTTTCACTTTAATATCTCTGATCAAAATTCTATGCTTTAGTCTTTGGTAGTTCTAGTGTTGAGATTGAGACGTTCCATCATTTTCTAATGATTTTCTAATATATCAATTGAATGTAACAATTTACATACGAAATACGAAACTGATAATTTTAGGTTTGTCCATAACCTAATAATCATAATATCTCTCATATAAAAATGAAACAGAACAGTTGACACGTTGAACAGCTCTCAGTTTCATGTATCATTTAAATGTAACCGAGGCAAAACAAACCATAAGTTTATTAGCTCTTAATAAACTTCTATCGAAAGAAGGGGAAAGCGACGAATTATTGTATACGGTTCGGTCACTCGTTACGGTCCGCAATCAGTTTTCCCAGCGCAAACTGGTCAATTGCATTACATTCTTCTTCTTTCGATCAAAGTTTTCACTCGCATCAAAGCAACCGAGAAATCAATTCGTTGCGCGAAACGACGTCCGGTGCTGACCAACCGGTCAAATTTTCGAACTCGGGGTAAAATCGATCCCATCGTTTCCACGTATGTATGTACGTTCCGTAGAATCCCGTTGAATTATAAATTCTTACTTGCCCCGCGTGTGATCCGCGGCAGCGATTTCGAATGGAAACTTGGCTCGAACCCGTTACGTGCGATATCAGGACGAAACTTGGTTTCAAATTGGTTTCTCAAATTGGTTTCCTTTCATCGATCGTGCCACTCCCCCTCCCCTTTATCGAACGCTCTCGAACCCGATGACGAGGAGTTTTCCTCCTCCCGTAATGTAACACGCGTGTAATCGCGCGCAACGAGAGAACACTCGAGTTCGATCTTCGTTTCGATTGCAGCCGGACTGGGTGCCACCCGAGATATTCGACATGGTGGCGGATGACAAGGCCCGGTGCATGAGCGAGCACGGCACGACGCAAGGTCAGTATTTCGCCGCAGTGAAACTCGCAACACGCTGGAACGCCGTTTATCTCCGAGCCAAATACCAATTCGCGGCGGGTTGAATTCACTCACTCGGATCCGAACTCCTATTCTATTAAGATCACTCCCACTCGCATTGTGCAACAAAACGCTCGTTCGCCTCCTGGCTTTGTACATGTTCTTGAGCGTATATATATATATCGTGAGTACGTGCGAACAATATGACTCGCATAATCTGTCCGAATATCGAATGAAATAGAGGAACAGAAGTAGAATATTTCTGCCTGTGTTTCGATTAAATTGAATGAAAACGAATAGCAGAGTGTAGTCTCGAGTGCAGTAATGAAATTGAAACTATAACGAAAGTGCGATAACGTTTGAAATCATATTTAAATATTCAATGAAATTTATCGCTATAGAGAATAAGCTGGATCCGCAATTGATCGGCGATTTTAATTTACTGACACGTTAACTGTACTCTCGACTGTTGGGGGTGTTAATCATCTCATCGCGCGAAAGATGGTTCTTCGCGAGTAATAATTTCGAAGAATTAGTAGAGATACACGTAAACGTGCAACTCTTTGATAAAAAGACGCGACTTTTCGCAGAGTCTACTTCATTCGTATGTAAAGAACAATCAACTTTGATCGTTGATAGCGCGAACGAACTTATTATACAACCTAATAATGAACGAAGAATCACTAGTAGAGGAGAGAATCGGTAAACTTTTGTTATACGCGCGAATTATATAATACAAACTATTTGCTTCCCCCGATAATGCTCGGTTAACGAATAAGCGGCCGAAACTTTCGAAAACTGATTCACCGATTCGAAACGCAGCACAAATCGACGAGGTGGACAAGGGAATATTGAAAGACGAGCCGTCGATTACTTGCTACATGTACTGCTTGCTTGAAACGTTCAGCTTGGTAAGTTGGAGCAACCATTTCCTCGACTATCGAACATCTTCGATTCCATTTTACCTTTTTTTCTTTTCTTCTCCTTTTCTGGTGTTCGATGTTTTAAAAAAAATTCTCATTTTGAGAATTCAGTTTAAATTTTCTCAAAATTATTAAACCGAATTAATTAAATTGAAAAATTTGGCTTCATTTTAAAACACGAAGAAGCTTCTACTTTGAGTTTGCTTTTCTCATTAATGATTTCACATCAGACAATGTCAAAATTCGAACACTGAAAAATTGTTTTCACCATTTTATCGAACGTTAAATATTAAAAGCAAAAACTCAAGAGAGAATTCTAATGTTCCAAATTCGATAAAACGACAAACGAAAAAAGAAGATCATACAGCGACTTTTAGGAAATTTCAGTCTTCTGAAGACCCTTTGATAGTTTCAATCCTGAGAAAATATTTTAACGTTTCTCCGTATGTTTGAATTTTCGGAAATAAATGGTTTACACGATGTTGAAAAGAAAAAAAAAAGATGAACTCACGAAGGAATCAAAGTAGAGGTTTCACTCTTCAAAAAAGAGACCAAGTGGATCGTACGATCAAGAATTCCACATCGTCGATATCGAGAAATTTTCACTGTCGTTGGTACAGGCACAATTAATCAAGGAATCGTTTCGTTCAGGTCGATGAGGAAGCCGACATAGACACGGACATGATGATGGGTCTGTTGCCGGAGGAACTTCAGGCAAGGGCGCAGGAAATTATACCAAAGTGCACCCCAGCATGTACGTGATTCACAAATTTTTCTCAAATTTCCAACGCTGAAATCTCCAAGTTCCAACGATCAAGACGTTTCGATCGTTTAGAATCAAATCGTGTAGACGTCAGTACGTTCGAACGTGGCGGAAATAGTTTCGAAATAGAGAAATCCGAATGCCAGGCTGTCGGAGTCTCTTAAACACTCTGGCAAATCGCACCATCACATTGTAATTATATTTTCGATGTTGCAGCGGGCAGTGACAACTGCAACAAGATATTCAACCTCGCCAAATGCGTCCAATCAGCCGCGCCAGACGTAAGTGCATTTCACATACACCGTTTTCTGTTTCCCCCAGCGATAATCAGATGACGTCGGCTGGCATAGCGAACACGAGTGAAAGTACTTCGAATGCGTACGCCAGTCGATCGTAAAAGCAACATGCCACCACTGTTTCTGCGGCTGGTAACAATTAGCATGCACGTCAACGCAAGATCAATATTGAAAACTAATATATAACAACAATTGGACTGCGGATATTTACGTTCTTTGCAGAGTCGATCAAAAATCGCCACTTTTAGATACTTTTCGTTTTGCAACGCGTAAACGTCCGCAGTCGAATTTCGCACACACGAGCGAACGTTCACAGAAAATGTGACAACGTGCAAACAGCTACCAAAGCAGTTTCTACCATTTGCTTGCAGCTATGGTTCATTGTCTAAGATCATTCCCCGAACGATCTATTTTCTACGGGCAACAACAACAGAGGAATTATAACAACAGGCTGCAAGATGACGGTTACGCGAGAATTCAATTCACCGGCAACGACGTCGGCGAACGCCGATGAAAATGAAAAGAAACGAGAGAGAGAGAGAGAAAGGGAAAGAAAAAAAGCAACGCGCAATTCGTTTATAGCTGTATCGAATATTACTCTATCTGAAACAAGTATGTATGTACGTTCCGTTAGAAGAAAACGAATAAACCTATACCTTGATTTAAGTGTAAACGATATGTATGATAAGTAAGAAACGATAAGTATCGACGTTTGATACAAAACATTTAACTAATTAAACGATATTCAAATGGGTGTAAATGTAAAATGTTTACGCAAATGTAAAAATCGAGTAAATGTAACAATCGAGTAAATGCACGCGTTGCTACAATGATCGAAACAGTTAACCTCTCCAGTGTGCGTTCCGTCTTTTCTTTTCTTTGCTTTTCGTTAAATTAAAATTATTCCAAAAAAATCAAATCACTTTTCGTTCTGCTTCGAGAATTCTGAAGAGGTTTCTTAAGAGAGTTTCTCTTTCGCGAGTCGTTTCTCGCTTAGATTCGAAACCAATTCGTCTCCGAAGAAAAGTTAGAGAATGAAAAACAGAAGAGGAATCGCCGAGAAATCCGTTGTACTCGACTAATTTATTTATTTGGAAGAACGATAATAACGGGCGTCCTGGATGTGTTACGCAACGACCAAAGCGCGGCTCGCGGCTCCACCGATGCCTATAATTTTCGTGACAATCTAATTCACGAACGTCTTCGAACGTACGGCGTAATTGCACGTCTGCGCGGAACACCGGATAGCCAGTTCCATTCCATCGTGCAACAACACGCGAAAATCCGGCACGCTGCTATTAAATCGGTAATCCCCCCCTTTCCATCAAAGTTTCGAGATAATTTCACTGCGACTTTGTGCGTGTGTAATCAACGATATCATTTGTTGCGCAATGTTATCCGATGTCAATCTGACTCGAGGCTGATTCAATCTCATTTCGATTTCAAAACCGGGCGGAAACTCGGTTCGATTGAAATCCGATCGACAGATGGACGTACGGAATTTTAATCGAAAATACTAGTAATGTAAACAGCGTGACAATTTTTCCTAACCAACGTTTGTTACCGTTTTTTTTTTTCGCGAATTTCTCAAGTCTCAAGTACTCAGGTACACTGTTCACAAAAATTAGGGGATACTTCAAGATGAATACGAAGCGATAGAAAAAAAAAGAAGCATTTGATTTTCTTTTATCAAACAAGAACATCAGAAAATATTACGCTGTTTGCTTTTCTGATGTTCTTGTTTAATGAGAAAAAAAAAATCGAATGCTTCTTCCTTTTATCGTTTCATATTCATCTTGAAATATCCCCTAATTTCTGTGAGCAGTGTATTTTGGTACGGGTAGCTTGAATCGTTTCAATGCCACGCACCGCGATCGCGCTGAACAGATTCGCTGTGTCGAACAATGCCACAGAGTTGCTCACCCATATCGAAGCTTCTTCTCCTAATTACCTTCTCTTCAATTAAACAAACTTCACCTAAAACACGTGCATAGATAAGTAAAGATTTTTACTTTGTCTACTAAGGAAGCGTCGCGTGGCATTATCCAACACAGAGTTGTTTTTTTAACCTCTTGCGCTGGAATGACGTGCGTCGACAATTCTTTTCTCCCAAAATTCCAATATTCCCACAGTTTTAAGTATAACTCAGGTAAAACAAAATAATAAATTTATTAGAATTTTTTTCTCCAAGTAAAACAAAATAATTAATTTATTAGAATTTTTTCTCCCGATATTCCCTCCTATTCAGTTTTAAGTATATTTAAATATAGCTCAGGCAAGATAAATAATAAATTTATTACTTTTCAATAATTTCTATCCGGTGATATCGTACCGACGAGTTCAAAAAAGAAAACGACGAATTATTGTATACGGGTTCGGTCACTCGTTACGGTCCGCAATCGATTGCCA